ACTCTTTCCCTTCTCTCGCACATCACAAGCTCCCAAATTTGACTATCTCCCAAAATTTTCAGAAATATTGGCAGAGTTTCCTTTGTAACTGGGCTTTTCCACCTGTCAGAGAATCCCAGAACCAACCCTAACATCATATACATGAACAAACGACACAATCAACCATAAAAACAACACCAACCTTGGCCTCGTGAGCAGTATATTACCAAAAAGGAATACCATTTGCATAACTGTACAAGTTAAATATAATTCATAGAAGGTAACTCTTACCATCTTCATAGAACAAAACTTTATAAATACATGGCTATTCAAACAAATAAGGCTATTTCTTCTTCACTTCTTCCTCGGCCTCCCAAGTGGCCTCTTCAACCTGCTGGTTCCGCCATAGAACGTTCACAGAGGCAGTTTCTTTGTTCCTCTATTTACGGACTTGCCTATCAAGAATGGCAACTGGAATCTCTTCATAAGTCAGTTCCTTGTCAACCTGAACAGACTCAGTTAGGACAATAAGTGACGGATCTCCAACCACCTTCTTCGACATGGATACTTGAAACACCGGGTGCACTAAAGACATCTCTGGGGGTAGTTCAAGCTTGTAAGCCGCCTGGCCAATTCTCTGAGTGATTCTATACGGTCCGACATACCTCTGGCTCAATTTCCCTTTCTTTCCAAACCGCATTATACCCTTCATAGGGAAGACCTTCAAGAATACCCAATCATTTTCTTTGAACTCCAAATCCCTACAACGAACATCCGAATAGGAATTCTGACACCTTTGAGTAGTTTTCAACCGCTCCTCAATGACCTTGACCTTCTCCATAGCCTGATGCACGAGGCATGGTCCTATCAATCCAGCTTCCCCAATCTCGAACCACCCAATGGGAGATCTACATCTCCTACCATATGAAGCCTCGAGTGGTTCCATCTGAATACTAGCGTGATAACTGTTATTGTAGGCAAATTCTATGAGTGGCAAATGATCATCCCAGCTACCCTTGAAGTCAAGAACACAGGCATGCCACATATCCTCAGGCGCCTGAATACTGCGCTCTGCCTGCCAGTCAGTCATTAGATGAAAGGTTGTACTAAGATTCACCTAAGTACCCAAACCTTGCTGAAATGTCTTCCAAAAGTTAGCTGTGAATTGTGCCCCTCGATCATAACTGATAGAAACTGGGGTGCCATGCAACCTTACTATTTCCTTGATATACAACTGAGTACATTATTCCGATGTGTTGGTAGATTTGACTGGCAAGAAGTGTGCTGATTTCATGAGTCGGTCCATAATTACCCAAATTGAATCAAACTTGCACGGAGTGCGTGGTAGTTGTTTACCGTGAAAATGATAACGACAATTAAATTTGTAAATGAGATTCTAAAAATACGTGATCTATTTTTATGCTAGTTGTTAGAACAGATGGTGCTAAGAACATGAAGTTTGACGATAAAATACAAGCTAAAACAGGGCAATAATGGAACTGAGGGGCTTGCTGCCCTTGTTTCGAACCGGTCAATGGAGGACCTCGAGGCTAATATTTGGGCTCGATCTCGAGCTATCGGGGGTAGTCAGGAATGGGGCAACAGTTAGAGTATAATCAAGCAAGGCTCATTATGGCCAATACCAAGCAATGAAGAACAAGCAAGAAAGTAATAAATGCCAAAGGTAGCTTTGAGCGAGTAAGTTAGATAAAAAAAGAGAGATATTATTGATATGGTGGAGAATAGTTGGAGCAACATCAGCCCCTTACAAAGTAGTGTGGATTCCCTTTATATAGGAGGGGAACCCAGCTATAGTACAACATGCATTAGCTGTAAAGTATGGACATGGGACGGCTAGATGCGACGCTTTAGTGTAGGCTCTGGATAGGCCATCTCTGTCAGACTTAGCCGTGTGTCTTGGGAACTTCCCCTTCTATTATAGCCTTGACCTCTGTCTTCTTCGAGTCGGGCCTCGACAAGCCCCGAGGGAGGGGACTCGGTCATGGCTCCACGTCCTCGAGGCCTCGAGGCATTCTTCCAAAATGGCTTGATAGCGAGAAATTAAGTCCTCTGATTTTGCCGCATACAGATAGTCTTCACGTTTCCCAGAACAAAGCGATGGGAAATGATTCTGACACCTGACTCCTCGATCTTCTTATGGTGACGTCACGCCAATGATGTGACCTGTGGCAAGCTTTTGTGGCAACCGGGGTGTCTCATGGACTTGTGCATTTTGACATCATTCAATGCACTTCCGATTCCCGTTCTCGAAGGTGAATGTACCACCATCGATTCGGTTCTTCAAGAACGCAGTAATTGCGTCCATCGGTCAATCTTCCAAAGCCTCGATGACCGTGTCGTTACCCCCTATAAATGGGGGTGCCTTGGCATTGTTTTTTCTATCCCAATACCTTAGTTGGCTCATTTGCCCATTTCTTCTTGTCATCATGCTTTATCCTTGGAAATAATGTTTGGGGCTCATGGCCTCAAGGCCGTTAGGCAGAGCTCCCGTAGGTTGTGTTGTGGCCTCTTGCCAGAGCTTCTCTTTGTTGATCATGACCATGTTGTCCCGTCGCTGCTGTGGTTGTTGTTATGTTCGCTGTTGTTGTTGTTGTTGGCCCGAGATGATGATATACGGGGGTCAACTTTTATTGGTCGCGAAAAAGCTCTTTCGGATTACATACCGCTGCTCACAAGGGGGCTCGGATTACACATCGTTGCTCACCTTCATACCCCGGCTCGACGTGGTACTCTGCCCCGAGCTAGTGACTTGCACGGCTAGATGTTCCAAGAAGTGGACTCTAAGTAGCCGTGCAAGTGGGACCGAGGCTCGCTCGGTCCGCTGTCTCTCCGATGTTCTCTTGGCCAGTGAGGGTCCTCGACCTTCGGAGAGCTATTGTGTTTTTTCATCCCTTCCTGCTCCTCCCACTTTCTTCTTCATCTTCTCCTCTGAAGTGCTACTTTGAGGGACCGAGGCGAGGTTGTTGAGGGAGCACATCCGAGGAAACAGCGCTTGAAGATGCTGTCATCGGAGATATACCTTCGATTGTAGACTAGGTTTCAGGCTTTTACTTCATGTATTCCCTTTTTTGCTTCTGTGTTCCTGTGTAGGGACCCTTTGTAAGCTTTTGTAATTGTCTGTAAGGACCCCTTGAGGGCTGTTGTACATGGATATTTATGAATATGAAGACACTTCCTTGATTTCTGTTTCCGATTCTTGCCTTATCATTGTATGTTCTTGTGTGCTTTAAGGCCTTCGAATGCTTTCCTTTGTTGTATACCGTTGATATCTAACTCGGATACGAGCGTTCTTTCTGATCCCCTGCCGGTTGATATGGCTTCTATCCGAGCCCACCGTCGTACCCCGGACCTAGCCTGAATTGATCCGATAGGCTCGGGCTGTTGCATGGAGATAGTACGCCGAGTTTTGGAGCTTTCGAGAGTGGTATCCTGAGCGAAGGTCAACTTCAGATACCTGGGGGTCTGCTTTGGACTTGATGCAGATAGATTTTTAGAGCGTAGTGGATAGACTTCTGTTGAGGTGTTGCCTATACTTAGGTGATGTCTCGAGCCCTCCCGGAGCCTTCATGATCGGAGCTTCGCGTGCTTATTTTTCTTTTTAGAAAGAAAACCCACGAGGTCGGGCACTACCTCGAGACTGGAGGCAATACAGTCGACTCTTTGAGGCCTAACTTCTTGTGGATGGATGCCTCTGGGGTCGGGCATTACCCCGAGATCTGTAGCGATGCCGTTGGCCTCTAGGGGTCCACTCTGGATAGGCAAATCGTCGTCGTTTCCCCCATATATGTGGGGTGGCCTTTGCTTCTTTGGGAGATCTCATTATTTTGGGTAGCTATCCTTCCACCTTGGCATCGAGTCCTTCGTCCTTTCAGGCGCAAAAAAGCGTTGGCGCACGTCCTTGCTTTAATCTGTAGATTCTACCATAGTCATGGCAGCTACTTCGGGGCCGGCCAGGCAGGGAGGGGAGAGTTCCACTCCCAGCGCTCAGGATCCGGGGGAGTTCGCTCTGAAGACTGTGTCTTTGATAAAAGAGGAATATCTGGAGATGGTGAGGAGATACTGCGGATGGAGCGAGGGGATAACGCTACAGGTGCTTTCCCCGGATGAGAGTATTACGGAATCTGCTGATGGATTCTTGAGCGTATACCTATATCCTTTCGCATTTGGCTCCCTTGATAGGGTCGTGCTTGGTTTCTGCTTGAAGTATCGGGTCACTTTGGCGCAGATACATCCGTCGTTTTGGCGAGTGGTGCTGATGATGAGGTTCTTTGCGGAGAAAGCTGGGCTTGAATTCACGCTCAGCCACCTCATCAGGTTGTACCGGCCCTTTCATCATCGAGGCCTGTTAACCTTGTGGTGCCATTCATCCACGCCCTTTGTCGATGATGAAGAAGATGGGGATCGAGAGTAATTGTGTTTCCTTCCTTTTTGCAGCAACTTCATGGATGTCGGGCGAAGTTCTCGATCTGCCCGGCTGGGTCCGGAAGTTGGCGAACCATTCGACTTGCGACGAGCGTAGGTGGCTAGCTGTGTCTCGTGGCAGATGGGAAGCGAAATATCCAGGTGTGCGCGTACGCTGCTTTTACCTTGGTCTTCGTGTATTTGAGATGACATTTTCCCCTTTTCTTTTGTACTGGCTTTGCCATCGTAGGTCTCGGGCGGTCCCTTGGGGCGAGGCTGCTTTTCTCCGGGTAGGAGGAGGAGTCGTCGGCCTTCGTGCCAAGGGACGATGGTGATAAAAGGGATCTGCACCCGCAGTGTGATGGAGCTTTTAATGGGGCTCAACGGGCCCGTGTCTTCGAGGAGAGGACGTCGCCCGAGCCTGCTGTTCCTGAAGTGTTTGATTCCGGGACGGTGGTTCCTTCGAGTGAATATGCTTTGCCCGAGGTTGGTTCTCCCGAGGCTGAAGAGGCAGGAGCAATAGGAGTGTGCTCCGCCTTCGAGGGAGTCCGCCGACTTCACTTCATAGTGAGTTTTCGGCGCGGTCCTTCTGTATTTCGCGTCCTCCTTTCCTTATCGAGTTTTCCTTTGCAGGCCTTTGATAGGTTCAGGTCTGAGTTGCTCCGTCATGGGGTCAGGCTTCGGAAAGCACTAGACGAGAGTGAGTCCCTTAGGATCCTCAGCAAGGAGAAGGAGGTTGAGTTGATGCATTGGCTATATGAGGCGTATTGGGGCTCAAATTACGAGAGCTAATTGCTGGAGCAAGTAACCTTTCATAGTGACCATTTCGCTCCTTTTGACCCTTAAGGTTAACCCTTTTGCCTATCTTAGCTGCAGAAAAAAACAGAGGCCTTGCAGTACCTTAAGGGCGAAGCCGACCGCGTCCGGTATGCTTGCGGTGAACTGAGGGCTCTGGTGCAGGATCAAGCTTCAGAGGAGAGGGGCGCCTTGGCCAAGGTTCCCGCCCTCAAAGCCCAACTCCGCTTGGCTCGTGACAATGCTACAGTCCAAGCGGATATGATCGGGAAGCTCGAGTCCGATCTCTCGAAGGTCAGGGCTGAGATAATCGATGCTCGGGCTGAAGCAGCATTAAATCAAACCAAGGCTGATCAGGAGATGGCGATTCGTATGAAGGATGCTGCCAATGCCCAAGCCGCGTTGAAGTAGGCCCTCGATCGCGAGAAGAGGATAGAGGAATATGTTCGTTGCAGCTCCCGAAGAGAGGTACTCGAGGAGATCGGCTCTAGGGGCTTTGTTCTCCCGGAGGAGTTGGCTCGAGCAAGGGAGGACGAGCGCGATGCTTGGTCCTTTCTTGCTGACGTCATAGAGAGCGAATCTGGGGCTGGCAGGCTGTAGCCTTTTGGAGCGGAGTGTGGGTTTCGCTTCTTTTCCATTTTGTACTTGATATTTGCAGAGCATGTTTGTAGATGGAGAGCGCGCCGTTTGCACATGTAAATAAGAGAAACTTAAAGCTTTATCTCTTTTGTATCTCTTTTTTCATTGCTTTCGACCAGGCAGGCTGGTTCGTCGTGTCTGGCGGGGACCTACGGATCCGGAGCTTACTAGATAGGCCCGGAGGCTTTCAAGTGAGATTTTTGATGCGAGTAGGCGTCAGGGCCCTTGTGCTTTTCCCAGCTGTTTAGGCCTAGTCTCCGAGTCGAGTGTCGGCTCGAGCTTATCTGGCTTCCAATCTCCCGTTCCTGCATGGGCGGATGATCACTGTTCTCATTGCTCGCCCTTGGGCGTTTGTCTTTCAGTTATTTTGGTTTCAGTCTCCGAGTCGAGTTGCGACTCGAGCTTTAATTGACTCTCAAGTTCTTTCGTGCCTGTATGGACAGATGGCGATGGCCCTTGCGCTTCTGGTCGAAGCGACCTTTTAAGTGTGTGGCCCGGAGGCATGTTTTGGCTGGCGATAATGGCACTTAGGCCGTGCCCTTAGGCATGTGTAGTTAACTATTTTGGATCCGGTCTCCGAATCAGGTTACGACTCGAGCTCAATTTAATCCTCAAGTTTTCAATTTTTGAGCTGGCGACAGTGGCTTTTATGCTGTTTTGGTCATTTGAGACCTTTTAGTGTGCGGCCCGGAGGCTCGTTTGGCTGGCGACAATGGCTCTTACACTTTTTGCCCGTGTGCTTTTTGTAGGCTTTGTTTTCCTCTCGTTAAGGTCTTTTTGAAATGATTTTGCCTGACCCGTCGTCTGTTCTGGAAGAACCTCAATTTCAAGTTATTAGCGGCGATGTTCGAGCACCTCGGAAGGTTCTTAGCTCGTAGGCTGAGTAGCTCGAAGCCTTGTGATTTGGAGCTGACATGGTAGAAGCTCGTTTGCCTGTTGAGGGAAGCAGGTTTTAATCGGTTCTTTTCGAAGTATATTTGAAGTAATAGCCATTGATTTTGTTAGCGACAGTCGGGAGTCCCCGAGTAGCGTTAATTTAGCTGGAGCAGCCATTTTGACCGTAGTCATATGTGTTTGGCCGGAGCCATTTTTGATCCCGAGTGATAGTTTAGGCGTATATACCGAGGGCATGCCCTTTCTGGATTCTTACAAATGCGACGTATAGCCTAAACTTCGGGATTGAGTTTTATGCCTGTAGAAAGGTCTTACAAAATTTTCATACATGTTGAGGTCTTGTAGTTTGTCATACCTGTTGAGGTTTTACAGTTTGTCATGCCTGTTGAGGTCTTACAGTTTGTCATGCCTGTTGAGGTCTTACGGTTTGTCATGCCTGTTAAGGTCTTACAGTTTTTGTTGCTATGTAGAATAGATCTGGTTACACCGAGTCTGCCCGCTAGGGGTCTTACGGCCTCGGGTTCTCCAGAATACGGTGATTGGCAACAGTCTCCAAGTCATCGTGTTTGCTTAGGC